AGAAGTGTCTTGAATTGATCAAGAATTTGGCAACAATTAGTGGAATGATTAAGGGTGATTATAGAAATTTGTCTAATGGCTCAATTTTATCATCATCATTATCATTATCACTAGAGGCACATAGTCCAAATGGGGTTTTGGAGGCAGCATGTTTGAGCTGCACAACAGTTGAGTCATGTCCAAGTTCTTCACACACTACTCCACAGCCTAAAAGGAGGAAATTGCAGTGAACAGCAACTGTAGAGGGGAGCAATGGTTCTTTGCAAATGCCAGTGACTTGGTGAATTGGAGTGTTGGTGTGGCTTTCAAAAGTATGACCTAAAAAAGATATAATAAATAATAAAAAATATGTATGCACAAAAAAGGAGAGAAGGAAAAATGAAGAGGTGAGAATGTGAAGTTGAGAAATGAAAGAGGTCCCTCTTTTTGCTTTGAGCATGAAAAGGCAGTGTTTTTGCACCTCTCAATAATTAGAGTCATTAAACAAAATAAAATAAATAGAAGAAAAGAAAGAAGGAAAGAGAGAGAAAAGTATAAGATGATGATGGGATAAGACAAAGCACAAGACTTTGAGGGAAAAAAAGGATCATTATTATTATGTGTTGGGAAAGAAAATCAGAGTTTCTGGTGAATGAAAAAAAAAAAAAAATGGTGGAATACAGTACATTTTTATTTAGTATTATATTATTATCGAGGATATTGCAGTTTTTGGAGTAATTCCTATGCCCGCAGTTAATAAAAAGTATTTACTTAATGGTCGGATTTCTCCTCTTGATTGTCACATTAGACGGACCCTCTGCTCCTTTAATTTTTGCACTCTATAAGCATGTGTAGCGAGTACAATGAAATTGGATAACATTTCATATACTGTTTTAGCATTTTAATCTAAAATTAGCAATAATCCAACCAAATTCCTATATTCTCATCTTGTTTATTCATTAAAATTTTATTTCACTTCATTTCGTAAGGAATAAAGATTAAAGAAAAAAAAGAAGCAAACAAATTGGTAAATTATAAGCGAAGAGAACTTTTAAGGAACAAAGGAGGTTGATGTTAGGCAAATATAACAATTAGACAATTATATTTTTTCAATGAATATTAATATTGAAACGTAGGTATTTTACGAGATTGCGTTCAACGTTATTAGAACACAAATAAACAACTAGAATAGCGGAAGCAATAAACCGAAGATTTAAAAAACTCTTCAGGGAAGCGTCTCACTTCCCCTCAAAGCTCTTTCATTGATAACTCGATTGTGCACATGCGTATATTTTGGAATTACAGCAACTAGAACTCCCTTCTAACCTAACCAACAACTATATTCGAATCTACCAACTACTTCTCCGGCCACGTCCCGTGGACTTTAAGAAACACTTAATCTCTAAGTGCTGATCACAATAATGTTTGAAAAACAAAGAAAATAAAACAAAACGACTTCAGTTCTTCGATATGTAAGAACACCGAAAACTGAACTGAGAACTAAAATAAAAGAAGACTTGAAGCTCGAATAGTATGTGAATAATAATGATCTCAGCAGCCTTGATTCGATCTTCAAGTAGGGTATATATACAACTCCTTAGGCTTGGAGTCTTCTCCAAGTTCTTTCCTTCTATCACGATCTCCTTTGATCTTCTTCCCAAAAATAGTGTAGTAACATGGAAAGTAAATCTTCCTTGATTGTATGTGATTTGGAGATCTTCAGAATTGAGTTTCCAATGGAAATCTTCGTGGTTCCAGACACGTGTAAGAACACAACTTTCCTAAAATAGCCGATCTTCCAAATCTTCAAAGATCTTGTGGTGAATCTTTCCAAATCCTCCTTAGATCTTCTAGATAACGTCCAGAATTTCTTATGCACGTTGCTCATCCTTTCATAGTCCTTGCCACCTATTCCTTGTCCTAGAAGATAGAGAAAACTAATTATGGCATAGAATCAAGCTCATTAATGCATGTGGCATATATGGTAAGTAAATATATAAGATATATATTATGTAATCCTTCTCCTAAAGGTTTAGATTCCATAATACATATTATAATAAATATATAACATATAATATTAATAATAAATAATAGGAACTTAATTAATTAACAAGTAAATAAATAGAAAACTTCCCTTTATTTTATTTTGCTTGCCTTACAAGAAAATCTTCTAGAAAACAGTTACGTTTTCGAATGATGCCAAACCAATATTCTTACAATCTCCCCCTTTGGCATTCAGTTCGAAAACCGTGTTTCTTGAAGATAACCTACAAAAGAAACTCAAAACAACAAAGCAAATATCTACGTTCGAACATCAGGAAGTAAACTACTCAAACACCTACAATGTAAGAACATCAGAACAGTTCCTATCAAAACAACTATGAGGACTATAATCAGAGCAATCTAAACACATCAAGCTATCAGAACCTAAGTCAAACAGAATGACCAATTCATCTCTCCCTGTCAGAATAGTCAAGACAATCAAACAGCAAGACGTAGACGTTCTTACATCATGCATAAACCTGTCAAAAACAACATCCAATATAATCAAAAGCAAACAACTAGAACATTATCCCCAACATCTTCAGAAACATCTCATTTCTCCCCCTTTTTAGACTGAAATGTCAAAGGCAAATCTCCCCTTGAATAATAACCGAAGACGAAAGTCGTTGCTTGAACTGATCTCTAATCATTGAAGACTATCCATCTCTTCTTTAGGCTTTTGCCATCATCCAAAGTGTTTCAGAAGCACATTAGAAAATGATGCAGGAACACAGATGGTTAAAAGAAAAATTCAAAGAGAAATAAAAATATAAATGGGGTTCTCAGGTTCTGAAAATGAAAATAAATAGTGAGGACGTGATGGGTGAGGTTCGAAAAAAAATATTAAGGGAAAGGTTGAATACCATGCAGCAAGAACATCCCCATCAAGACTGAACACACAAACCCCTTAACACACTAACACACGTGTCCAACTAATTCAAAATTAGGAAGAATAAGACTTTATCATCCAAAAATAAATTCCCTCACAATTTTTTAATGTCCAAGTAATTCACTCAAGAAGGAAATCACATGCATTATGCCTAAGGATGAATAAATAAAAATAAAACCGCATGCAAGACACTAAAATCAATAAAATCCTTTCTTAATCTACTTAGGCAGGATTGATGCATAATTAATCCAAAATCAACATTATGCTACAAACACACCAAGGAACAACACAGAGGTGGAATAATATATACATATATATATATGTAGTGCAGGTCATATCTCTCCAGGATTCTAACACCGAAGCAACATAAGTTTTATTATTCACTAGACTTTTCACTTAGTAACAATCACTGCAATAGTGAAAGTCAACCCCATTACTTTGCCCAATGATTTTAAGCAACAACATTAATTTACATCAAGGCTTTTCACTTAGTAACAATCACTGGAATAGTGAAAGTCAACCCCACTACTTTGCCCCAATGCTCGGTGGAAGAACTCGTTTTTTTTATTATTATTATTATGCACTACGTTTTTTGTGAAGATGACCACCTTATAACTCCAAGTAAAAACACCACACAGTCAAGTGCAGTGGTTGTCAATAGCTACCACCCTTCACAACATTTTCTGTCCATGACGCTCTTTTCACAGTCGATCCAAAAGGAAACGAACCATGTGCTAGCTATCGCTCTAGATCATTGTGTGAAGGCAGCTCTTTTTGACAGAAATATATTTGTTCCAAGGTATGCAAGAACACGCCATCAATTAAAGACAATCAACATCTCACCCGCTTTCAGAAGAGTCAGAACTTCATTTATGACTTAGTGGTGAAATATATGCAAAAATGCAAGGCATGCCTAATGCAAATAATACCCTATATGAATACACACAATGCAAATATAATATATATACTAATATACAATACAATATAATATAATGGCATGCAAGCAATCAGAGAATGCATATCCCTAAGGATTTCCTTAGAGAGATAAATCTTTGAGCATCAAGGTTATGTGCTGGAACATATTTATGAACAATTAATCCATCATCAACCAAATTTCTAGTAAAGTGGCATAGCATGCTAGTACGATTAAGAGAATGTTGAACAGAATATTTGGAAACATTAGCCGCATAAGTAAGGTCAAAGAAAAGGTGAATGGCTTGTACCTCAGTTTCAAATTTAAGAAAAATGTGCTTCATCCACACCTTTTCTGAACAACAAGTTTCAGCCACAAGATTCTGATCGGTGTAAGAACAACCGTCAGACGTACTCCATTGATCAACAACATTCTCATCCCTATCAGCATCACAATCTTTAATAATACCAGAACTCGTATCACATGAGTCAAAAGTCATATAATCAATCAAATAGCAATTATCATACGATCTAGACCCTGTAAGAACACAGTTATTATTCCTATTTGAAACCATACATTCATTCAAGGTGAAACTCACAGAAAATCCTTGATCACATAATTGACTCACACTCAGTAAATTCGCTTTCAAATTTTCAACAAGAAGAACATTTCGAAGTTTGGGCAATCCAGGAACATTCAAACATCCTATACCGAGAACTCTATTCTTAACACCATCACCAAAGGTCACAGAACTAGAAGGAACAGACAAAATATTAATCAATTTATATTTTAGACCTGTCATATGACGAGAACAACCACTGTCAAAATACCAATTAGAATTAGAGGTGAATTTCAATGCAAGTATAGAAGATAAGCACACGTTCTTACTGCCTTTAGGAACCCAAATCTTTTTCTGTTCATGATTAACCACATCAACCTTTAGTTTAGGTGCTTTCAAGGGTACACCATGTGGACTCCAATCATCAATTCGACCAGTATAAATATCATTATGCATCCTATAACACTTAGGGCGAATATGACCGCGAATACCACAATAGTGACAAATAGGCACAAAGTTCATACAAGAATTCTTACGCTGAGTTTTAGTAGAGTTAGGCTTACCATTCTTACCATCAATGCTGTAACCTTCTTTGACAAAGGTCAGGTCTGACTTACTCAGAGATGTGCTAGGTTCGCCAACTTTACCTTTCATTTTCTGATCATTAGCGTTCTTACTTTGGTCTGAGGTACCTATTTGTTGACTCATCCTTTGAACTTCAGCAAATGAGGACTTGGGCTTATTGATCATTTTGATAATTTCGTCACTCTTGCTGAGTTTTTCTTCCATGGTTGCACAATAACTTCGGAGTGTCACATTCTCTTCCATCACTCGACCAAGTTCTTCTTTGAGAACAACAATCTCGGTTTCCCTTTCACCTATAGTTTTCTGCAAGACAAACATTTCATTACGTAGAGACTCAATGATAAAATCCTTTTCATCACATACCTGCTTGGACAACTTTCGTTCATGCTTTAACATCGTAATTTTGGCAACAAGTTCGTCCAGCTTATGTTCCTCCTTACTGGTATGAACATCAGTGGTAAGCTTATTATTCAGTTTGCCATTCATCACGCGAGTTTTCTGAAGTACATCCTTCAAGTGGGCGATCTCCTTTTCATGCTCTGCAGAACGATGTTGGAACACCTCGACTTGAGCTTGTAGCTTTTTCACCCTTTTTCCAGCTTTGATGCTCGTCTCTAATGCAAGCTTATGGGTTTCCATGTCTACTTCAAAAGAGCCATCTCCAGAATCATCAGAATTACTATAAGAATTATACGTGTAAGAACACATACCTGAATCGGCATCACAAGGCTTATGAGAGGCTGTAAAACACGTGAAGTTGTTGAGAGAAGTGACGACAAAGTTGTTCGTGTGTTGTTGATCATCATCGTATTCATCATCATCCCACGTGGCTCGATAGGTTTTGTTCTTCCTCGTGAAATTCGGACAGCCTTTCTGGAAGTGTCCAAATCTCTTGCATTCACGACATTGGTTCTTCTCTACGTCCTGATTCTGAGTCTTCTGAGAATGTGAGTTGGAACGTCGTTCACCAGACTGCTGATTGATGTTCTTACTGAAGTCAGTAGGCTTCTTCCCTTGGAACTCCTTTTTCTTCTTTAACATCATGGATTTCCAGTACCCATAGTTTGATCCATCGAGGTACGGAGGGCGCGAAACAGACATGCCATCGTGGTTCATGGTGACCAACCCAAAGATCTTTATCTTGTGATTAGAACAGGAACACTGCTCTGATATCAATTGAAACGTAGGTATTTTACGAGATTGCGCTCAACGTTGTTAGAACACAAATAAACAACTAGAATAACGGAAGCAATAAACCGAAGATTTAAAAAACTCTTCAGGGAAGCGTCCCACTTCCCCTCAGAGCTCTTTCATTGATAACTCGATTGTGCACATGCGTATATTTTGGAATTACAGCAACTAGAACTCCCTTCTAGTCTAACCAACAACTATACTCGAATCTACCAACTACTTCTCCGGCCACGTCCCGTGGACTTTAAAAAACACTTAATCCCTAAGTGTTGATCACTATAATGTTTGAAAAACAAAGAAAAGAAAACAAAACGACTTCAGTTCTTTGATATGTAAGAACACCAAAAACTGAACTGAGAATTAAAATAAAAGAAGACTTGAAGCTCGAATAGTATGTGAATAATAATGATCTCAGCAGCCTTGATTCGATCTTCAAGTAAGGCATATATACAACTCCTTAGGCTTGGAGTCTTCTCCAAGTTCTTTCCTTCTTTCACGATCTCCTTTGATCTTCTTCCCAAAAATAGTGTAGTAACATGGAAAGTAAATCTTCCTTGATTGTATGTGATTTGGAGATCTTCAGAATTGAGTTTCCAATGGAAATCTTCGTGGTTCCATACTCGTGAACACAACTTTCTTAAAATAGCCGATCTTCCAAATCTTCAAAGATCTTGCGGTGAATCTTTCCAAATCCTCCTTAGATCTTCTAGATAATGTCCAGAATTCCTTATGCACGTTGCTCATCCTTTCATAGTCCTTGCCACCTATTCCTTGTCCTACAAGATAGAAAAAACTAATTATGGCATAGAATCAAGCTCATTAATACATGTGGCATAAGATATATATTATGTAATTCTTCTTATAAAGGTTTAGGATTCTATAATACATATTATAATAAATATATAACATATATTATTAATAATAAATAATAGGAACTTAATTAATTAATAAGTAAATAAATAGAAAACTTCCCTTTATTTTATTTTGCTTGCCTTACAAAAAAATCTTGTAGAAAACAGTTAGGTTTTTCGGATGATGCCAAACCAATATTCTTACAACTATTTACTCTAAAAAATATCATAAACACAAGTATGCCATTTTTTTTTTTCATAGCATAATCAAGTATGTAGTTTTGCTAAAAAAAAATATGATTAGTCGATCCATGTGACGATGAGGTTGTCTGACACATAAATTTGTGTTTAATAAGAATTTATAATAGGCAAAATTAAACATGAATAAAAGAAAAAGAAATAAACATTTTAAAACAAAATATCATTTGACTTTTAACAAATCATTAATGCTACAAATTTCTTTTCTCTCCTGGTTGCCGAAATCGCCAAATCAAATATAAATTGATAAAAAATGACAATAAAGATGAGAAGTTCGGGCATGCTTGTTGAGTTACCTTATTTGGGGGTACTAAAGTCTTACAAAGACACCACATGCCAATGGGAGATGAGGACAAATGCGACGTCGTAAGATATTTATAGTTTTGGTGAAATGATTACTTGTCTTGCTGTTTTTGGGATCTGAAATGGACCGAGTGGGCCAACGGCTCGGGCCCACTGACCCTTTTTGGTCTGACTGTTGGCTGTTGCCTGAAACTATGTGCATGACCAGTCAAACACCTTTTTTCCTAATTCTTTTCCTTTATGAAAAAATTACTATATACAGAAAGAGTTTACTGTAAAATTTAACAAACCTCGGGAATCCAATTTTCTGAGTTAAACTTATCATCTGTTTGGTTAGGCTTGATGGAAATGTTACAATCCGGTTACCTGAACAAGCCCGTATTCGAGGTCCAAGATCGACCATATCCCAACTCAACATTTTTACACATTTCGGCCTGTTAGATAGATTAAACCTTTAATATTTTATTTTTACTAAAAAAATATATTTATGCTATAAAAATCATGTTTATGTTTTTTTTAGCTTGTGATATTTTCAGTCCGAAAGTTTATATATTTGTGGATAAAGTATGACTACTTTAAGCTAATAGTAGTTTGAATGATACTTTTATGGTTCATTCAATTTGAAAATGACCAATATTGTTTGATATGATTTTGTGCCCGGAACTATTTGATTTTTCTTCCCAAAAAATAAGTTATAGTCTTTTATAACATTTTGTATGAAGTTAATTATTTTATTTCTTCTTTACTTATTGTTACATAAAGTGAATTATTTATATCATTGTACATAAATTTACTTGTCCATCCTTAGACTTTCATGTTTTCTTTGAATTTGGATTAGGTGACAAATAAAACTAGACAACTAAGAGAGAGTTTAGCTACAATGAACGGAATCAATTAATAAGTTCATCAACGTACTTACAATTAGTTTCATTAAAAAAAATTGCTTTAATACAATACAATTTCATTTGATTGGTAATCTAATCAACTAGTTGATTTCGCGTGGTATCATTATCGTTTGATACAAATTAATAGCTGTTGTACATTAAATATTATTTTAGAGTAAGATTTACTCTACACAAAATTTTGACAGAAATAAACAATAGGAGTCAAAAATATTTCTGTAGACTAGCTTGTTTAATACACAGAATTCGTATATGTGGAAAGGCACATTGTCTGAAACGCACATTGCTATGTACTTGGGCAAATTGTAGAGATGTTCGCTATGGAGGGAAACTCTAATGTTAAAATTACTTCTTTGGTTTATTTTTTTCTGTCAATTGATAGTTAGAATGATTCTTGTAATCATTTGGTTATCAGTTGTACTCTATTTGAGTTTAATTTAATCGTATTTGTCGTTTGTAAAAAAGAATAAATGAATCCAGTTATATGAATTCAATTTGTCTTCAACACCTCATAAGAAAAATATTGACAGTCGACAAAATACTGAAAAGTAACAATAACTACTTAGTGAATTTAGGCCAAAATAATAGTCAGAAAGCAATGAGTTAACATAATAACCCAATACGATGCGTCCCCAATCCCCACTGATATATGTTTGCAAGAGCTATCGAACTTTGAAATGTGCGGGGAAGTGCATGAATGCAATTTATGTAACAAGATGAAATAAAATGTCGAAAGGATTAATCAAAATTTTCCTCAAAAAGCATTTCACTTCCCCATAGCTCTTACACTAGTAAATGGTCACGCACAAGTAGCATAGTATAGATTTACGAGACTAGAACTTCTTTCTAATCATACTGACTCTACACTTCACTTTCCTAGTTACTTTTATGGCCAACACGTGGACTTAAGTGCCTATAGTAGATCCCTCTACAGTCAGACGAAGATTTCTCCCAAGTGTCGTGAGTAAAATAGAAAAGATACAGATGTTTACTTTTCACCCTATCAGACGATGAGTTGAAAGCTCGACTAAATCTATGAAATACAATGCAAGTCTGAGCTCTCAAAACTCTTAGAACGGGTTGACCTCTCTCTCTCTCTCTCTCTCTCTATCTATGTATCTATCTATCTATCTATCTCTCTCTCTCTCTCTCTCTCTCTCTCTCTCTCCCAATCGTTACAATACAAAAATGAAGATTTATGACTATATGATCATATTTTTTGTAATTATACGTACTGAATAAAATGAATGACCAACCTTATTATTCCAGCATGTAACAACACCAACAAAATTAAGTACTGCACTGCACATCGGTGGCTTTCATCTAAATCGTTTTTTGTGTGCAAAGCTCTTTTCATAATCGAGACTGTGAAATAAAGTCATGTGCTAGCTGCTCATACATCATTTCATGAAGGTAGTTGTTTCTAAATGTAGAGGATCAGTATATTACATAACCAAAAAAAATATTGAATAGACTTAGTGCATGACTCTCACTAGATCATTATTTCTGGTTGAAATTTTATCATAAGTACATGTTGGACAATAATGAATGCATCTCATGCCTAATGCACTATACCTAATTACTTACACAATACAATATAAATATTATATTTTAATATTATAATGTAATTTACGCAAGGAATCATAGAATGCATATCTCTAAAGATTTTCTTAGAGAATTAAATCATTGAGCTCAAACGCCTTCGTGAAAATGTTGGCTAATTGATTATGTGTAGAAACATGGTCAAGAACAACAACTCCTTTCTCACTAAATTTTTTATAAAGTGATAACAGATATCTATGTACTTAGTGTGTGCGTGTTGAATTGGATTCTTGGAGATATTATTGCACTAGTATTGTGACAGTAAAGATTTTTGATTATTTACCTCAAAGCCGAATTCAGAGAGCATTTGTTTCATCCATACCAATTGCGAAGAACAACTTCCGAAGCAATATATTCAACTTCAGAGGTCAAGATGGATCTGCAGTTCTTCTTTTTTGCTTAGCCAAGAGAATAAATTATTACTTAGGTAAAAATATCCTCTAAACGTACTGCCTCAACCATCAACGTTTCCATCCCAATTAGCATCACAATAGCCTGCAAGACTAACACTTGTATCCCAAAAGTAAAGATACCAAGCAATTTAAGTTGCAACTCCTTTGGATTCACTTGGTACTAATAAAAACACCCACAATATAGTACAAATCAGGACTACTAGAAGTTATGTATAATAGTCTATCGATCATGCCATATAGAACTTTAGTCGACGAATGTTTCTTCATCATCTTTGAATAGCTTTTTGTGTCAACCCATTGGAACAATGAACACTTGGAGCCTTCTTGTCCAATCTTGTTTTTCGCGTACTTGTTTTGGTGCAAGAAGATTTCTTTTTTTTTTTTGTTTTTTTGCTCTGTTTGACCTGCAATCCTAGAAAATAAGTTAGTTCACCGGCCATGCTCATGTCAAACTCTATGGACATTTCTTCTATGAATTGGTTAACCTTTGTTTCAGAAGTATAGCAAAAGATCATATCATTGACATAAATTTAGAAATGATAATATCTTTATGAGATTTTTGAATAAAGAGTGTTTGATCAACTCCACCCTAGTGTAACATTTTCCTTTTTAGAAAAATTTGGTCAACCTTTTATACTAAGCCTCGGAGCTTTTTTTAACACAAAGCCTTTTTCAAGTGGTAACATGATTAAGATTTTGAGGATCAACAAACCCATCTGGTTGCTTCACATACACGGTCTCATTCAAGAAACCATTTAAGAAGGCAGATTTAACACCTATTTGATAAACACGAAATCCTTCAAAACAAGCAAAGATGAGAACATGCGAACAAATAATAATCCAGCTATGGGGGAAAATGTATCATCATAGTCTATGTCTTTCCCTTAAGTATATCCCTGATCAACTAGACGAGTCTTATTAATATAAATATTTTTCTGCATCATTCATTCTATTCTTAAATATCCACTTAGTTTCTGTCACGTTTCCAGAAGTTGACCTAGGAATTTATTTCCAAACATCATTCTCAAAAAATGCTCAAGTTCATCATGTAGAGCTGAATCCAATACTCGTCTTTTAATGCTTGTTTTACATTTTTAGGTTCGACTATAGAAACCTAACATGCAAGGTGAATGATAACAACTATCTTATGAAATTCAGGTCTAACATCCCTTGTTTTACATTCCTTAATCTTTTCTATTAACTAGTTCGAACGATCTTTCAAAATTTTAGTAGGAGGATCCCACATTGAATGAAAATATTTTAAATTTTCACTCACATTCGCCAAATCACTGAAATTATTTTAAATTTTCACTCACATTCTCCAAATCACTGTATTTTAGTTTCACATCATTCAAGACATCATTTATACTATTAGCGATTTATTCCAGTCATTATGTATAGTTGCAGAAATTTCAGGTGTAAGAACATTAGCTAACAAGTCATAAAAAATGACTATAGCAGATTCCATGACACTCTAGTTCTTCTGTCATAGACTCTATAAACCCAACTGTCATTGGAGTAACCTAAGAACCTACAAACATCACTTTTTGACTCAAAATTACTCAATTTATTTCTCTTCATCATTATATATGTAGTGTTTACACAAGAACCTACAAACATCACTTTTTGACTCAAAATTACTCAATTTCTCTTCATCATTATATATGTAGAGTTTACACCTAAAGACATGAAAATACGAATGTTACAAGTTTTACCTTTCCAAATTTCATATGGAGTCATATGATTGTCTTTGCGAAGATACACTTGATCGATGATGTAGCAGGTTGTGTTGATAGCCTCTACCCACAATCTCATCGACATGTCTTGTGAAATCAACATCACACGATTCATCTCTTTAAAGGTTCGGTTTTTTCTCTGTACAACCCCATTATGTTGTGGGGTGTTATGAGGTGAAAACTGATAGAATATACCTTTCTTGTCATTAAATTCAGTAATTTTACTATTCACAAACTCCTTACCATGGTCACTTCGAATAGAAACACCATCACAATTATTGTCTTTTTCAAGTTTCAACACAAGTTTTCGAAACACATCAAATGTGCCACTTCCAATGAAATCAAATTTCACTTTCCTAATTGCATTGTTAACACTCGCATAAACGAAAACCATCCAAAAAATTTCCTCCATTTCAGTAGTTTTAAACATTTCAATTGAAAATAAAAATGATTCTGTTTGATTTGTTCAACCTCAATGTTCATGGACCAACACACCAGTAAACCCCCTCTTTTTATTATATGTTCACAGACTTCCCATCTCGCTTGGAGTTTTAGACCTTTGCACACTGTGACCACAAAACCTTCTTTTTTCTTTGTCTTATTGAGAAACAGGGCCGGCCCTGGGGTAGGGCGGGCCGGGCGACCGCCCAGGGCCCCTGTTACCCCAGGACC